GTATTGTCAAAGGGTTCATTTGCACTTTAAATCAAATTCTAACCCGTACTGCTGCCTCGGAATTACTGGAAACAATTTACAATAAACTTCTATGTGCGGCTCATATTTATTCAGTGTAGTATTCTTTAAAGCCAAACCATTTATCCCTTATGTTAATGACCTTCGATTACTACTTTGAACAGCTTCATCATGACATTTGAAAAGCTTTAGAAATCCTCGTTTTGTTTACGAGAAAATTTATATTTATAGCGCGGTTGTCTTGAATTACAGCAGTCAACGAAATATAGCATGCGTAGACATTCACTTCTGTCACGTGATAAGCTAGCTCCGTCCACTGTTACTCAGTTTGGAACATAGTGGCATTGATTGACAGCTGGCATATGCTAATTGATCAGACTCCACCGGGATTGCAAATACGCGCAAAGTAAGTTCTCTTGGTTAAGGTTCTGAAGACCCCTGGATACTATTGCGTATTTTACGACGGGTCACCACAGGTATCCCAGTAATTAAAATATATTTGCATCAGTTTATTTACACGAATATTAGCTATCTACAAGTTTTCTTCGTCTCTAAGGGTGTAACTAATACGATGATTTAGGGTTTTGGTAAAGTTCTTCAAATGAATGGGGAAATAACAGCATACGTCACGTCACAGTACGATGGTAGACATCCAATCAGAGCAAGTCAATCTATACCGCTTATCCAATCAGCATAATAAAAGCAACATCAAGGCACCGTACGTTACATATGGGCACGGTATGGTCGTACATGTGCACGGTAATCATATATGCGAAAACTACTATTGGCTTCGTTTGAGTCACCAATCTTCACTTGTTGGTTTTATTTCCGTAATTTCGGTTTTGGTTCCTGCTACATCCGCCATTTACCAGTCTTTGTTGTGGTCTAGTACGCTAAATCGTCTAATCATTGGTTTCTTCTCGTTTTACCGAAGACTGCAGCATGAAGCGTAGTCTGGCTTGAAGAGATTGACGAAGCTTCGGAATGATCTTCTGCACCTCATCTCGAACCAGATCTCCGATAAACATATATTTGATGTGATATCTGAACTAGTTAAGGAATAAATCACAAGACACATTAACCTCAAACTTTAGGAATTATGCCTATTCTTATATTTACGCGACCAACACAGCCACAGAAATCTGGGTTTTAGTCTTTAAAAATATTCAAAAACTTATTCTCATCAGACGCGAATGGCATCAGCTCCAACGAGCTAATCTGAAATACTAGAGAGTTTTAGATTGACTTTTTTCTCCCCGCAAACGGCAAACGTGAGGACGTCTTAATAGTTTTCCTGTATTTTACTTTACCTTTTACAAACCTTCTCACCAAGCGCAAATATTCTTTTGTTTTTCTACTACTTGGACTTTTTTGCGATTCTTTTTCAGTMATTTAAAAGAATTTTTTACTGGTCAACTGACGTTTCACGTTTGCCGTGAACGTAAATGTAAAACTCACTAGTGACGTGAAATGACGTCACTGCAAATCTGAGGTGTCATGAAACCGGTGAAAATTGACCAGCGAAAAATAAAACCTGTCCAACATTGCAAAAAAATATATAACTTATTAATTATTATGGTACTTTTATCAACCTCTTATTAGCGACGTTGTTGTTTTTAATCATTTGGTGGCCTGGAAATCAATAATTTCAAGAGGAAAAGTGACATCTAAGTTTTGCAAATTTTCTCGATTTTGATTGGTTAAAAAGGATACAAGAAGTCACAGATGGTCTCGATGTGGTACATGTGCTGCGACTCGCGATCCACTTTCTCAAGGAGATGATACAACTCGATTACTATCTAAAGAATTAAACAAAAACAAAAAATTAGTCTTACGCACTTTGTCTAGTCTGCAATAGACCCTTTTCGAGTTCCAAAATTACCGCTGTGTTACTTGATTACAGACTCATGTACTCAGGGTTAGCCTCGTATCAGTGCATGTCTAAATATTCACAAATATCAACCGTAAAGTAAAGAATACACAACTTCAACAATGCTACAACAGTGCCCTGCCAACATTGAAAGAACGGCGTGAAGACAGTACAAAACGTGAGATCGAAAGAACAATAAATACCGCCAATCACCCAAATCAGATATTTATAAACACAAATGTAAATAAAACACATAACCGCAGATCTAATGTTCAGTCTGCAGTTAGGATTCCAACATCAAGGACAAATAGACATATGAACTTGTTCATCTAGGGCCACCAGGCTCATAATTACATAATTTTTAGATATAAATATTATGTATATTAATAATTTTAACCATGTAAATGCACCGTATATTTTATTTCAGGTTGATAAATAAAACTTATTATTAACACTTTGATAATTTTAAGGACCTTAACAGGAACACATGAATATAGAGGCTTTGCACCATCACGTGATGGCAGCCATGTCAGGAGGCATTTGAGATTTGTGGCATTTGTGCACTACTTGCGTAACATTTGGGGTTAGTTACCTCCTGAAGACAGCGTGTTCGTTCAGTGAAGAACCTCTGCAAAAATGGACCAACCAGGAAGCAGATGTACAGCAGCTGAGCCTCATTGTTGACCAGCGGTGTGACGCGACTGCGAATGAACCTGAAACAATAACAATAAATGGTTTGTGAACGCATGGATGGATGGAATGGATAGATAAATGGATAAAAAAGGATCGAAGGATGGATGGATGGGTAGGTGGGGGAACGGATTGAAAGGATGGATGGACGGATGGATGGACGGATGGATGGACGGTCCAATGGATTTATGGATGGAAGGATGGATAGACGGAAAATAGATGGATAGATGAATAAATGAATGAACAAATTGAAGGAAAGATGGACCGTTGGCTGGCTTGGTTTCCTGATTTGTAGGGATGTTTGTTAAAAAATGGATTGGTAAATTGAAAGGAAAACGGATGAATGGATGATTTTCAATAGAGACTGTGTAACAAATGAAACGGTTAAGGAACGGAATTAATGACCAGAGTCGAATCATAATCACAGTGTCGTCACGAAAATAGCAAGAAAAGATCCCAATCAGGAGGGGGATACCCCAAATGTATTGAAAACTACATGACATTTCTAAATTCGGATTCCAACCCCACGGACCCCTCCCCTGATCCCGAACGACGTCATATAAGATGCGTAACTTACTGTGGCATAGTCGTTAGCTGACCAATACTAGCATGATGCCATACTCCATGTGTCAGTGCAAGCACGTAATCAGCATGAGTCTCCGAGTGCATCGCCATGTTGGCCGAGAAGTCAAAGAACGAGTACGGAAAGGGACTGGGTCTAGCTGTTTCGTCAAGCACCATGGGATTGGATGCCACGTCACGTGCTGCCAGGTCAGACCTGAGAACCTCGCAGATCTTCTCGTAGATGACGCTCCAGTAGGAATCCTTTTAGGAAAAACAAAATCATTTAAAAAAGGAAACTCCATTAAAATAGGAAGATTTAACAAAAGGGACGCGTTCTCTGCACGAAGTTGTCTTCGCTGGCAATGCTATTTTATAAGCGGAATTCACCAATCAAGGCAGAAAATTAGTCTCCAGATCCCTCTTGGTCAGCACGCTGACCAGGAGAGACGCATGCTTTGGGGACAAGAATAAGCCCTCTCCTCTCGACGCATTTTTTGTCATCAACCTGGAATGAAAAGACAACTCAATCTAACGTCACTATTCCAAAAATAAACATACTAACCGGAAGTGACGTCATGACATGGGCAACTGCGTTAATCCACGCCATGATGTTCTTCCTTATGGAAGTCTTGGTGTAAGTAGTGCTTCCCTTATAGATCACATCAAACAGATTAAAACCCACTTGTTTAGGTGTGATAGGCAGCGCCATTAGCTCCATGCTGGTCACGTAGAGCGCATGTGCAGTAGCGTTAGGAAACTCGTTAAAGCGCCAGTCGCATTCGGGAAAGGCTGGGGGTGTCTTGCCTTCAATTGCTTTGGGGTTTTTGTTAAGGTAAAATAAGTTACTACTATAAAAGACAATGAAGAGTAAACGTAATATCTGAGAACAACGCTTGCTTACAAAAACAAACTTTCCTTGAAAATCTTTCAATGAAAATTATCCAGACACAGGGAGCCCAGAATGAGTCCCGGGAAAGATTATTTTTTWAAATTAACAATTAATTAAATGCTATATATAAGATTATTTTCATTAGTAAAAATGTTTGTAAACCTCTCCTGGGTACCCTGTGGTTTCGATGTATTTGAGAGGGAGCTGAAATGTAAGAGCCTCGACTGATGGTCATATTTTTGAAAGGATACTGTCGACTAGTCGACCAATCAAATTACAGTAGTAAGACAGGTCTGGTACCCATGATGCTTCCTCGTAACTGAGGAACTCGAGGTAACCTCTAGACAAACACCTGGGAAAACATGAAAGTACGTGAGCTACTTTAACAGGGTGTTTTGGCGATTGGGATTCCTGTGTTATTACTCTAGCACATTAAAACCTATCGCCAGAACGGCCAAACGCATTTTTAGACCTCTTAACATTGGGCGTAGTGTTCTACCAGTTCATAGAGCTCAGACCATGTATCACTCCTTTGAGTATCATACTTTGTCCAACGGTTTGCATGAGAAGACACTTAAAACAGAGAAAGCTTAAAACGTGTCATTCCCTAGAGTATCATTTCTTTGTTTAACAGTTGCGCATGAGAAGACACATGAATATGGCTACAACTCAAACGAAGAATCGTATTCTCAATAGAAAGACACGTGGGTGGTTGAAATGGAAAAACATTACAGCCAAGGTAAAGAGGTCTATCGAGCGTACAAACACGATACTAATCTTTCGAGGGAGGTATCAACGTTTACTCACCAGTCGGGTGGTTTGATATCGCGTTGTGCGCCTAAAAAGAGAAAGCAATACACTGCAGTTATGGTGGTTTGTCTTGGTGGGTATGGGGTAATACGACACTATAATATTGGATGATATTCCGGTTAAAGACGATGCTGTTGATGGGCATTGTTGATGATGATCATGTTAATCCATAATGTAGAATTAAAAGTGATGATGATGATGATGATGATGGTGTTGTCGGTTAATAACAATGAACTTGATGATGTTGATGAACATTGTATGATATGATGGCGATCTATTTTCAAGGGATACATACCTATAACTACACTAACCAGTTTCTTCTTGAGCAAAGGTTTTCCTTCAAGACTGTTCTCGTAGTAGTGAAGAGTGTTGTACAAATACGTGATTGGCCGAGCTATCAGAGAGGGAAGAAAGGAACAAAGAAAGGAGAACCTTAGTAATTCCTTTTTTTTTCCGATTCCTTGCACTATTTTTAAGAATACAAAGGTTTTACACCATCAGTGATGGCAGCCATGTTAGATGGCAGGAACAATACAATCGTTTTACATTAGAAATAATTCCATTTCTAAGAGGAAAGGGATTGTATTGTTCTGCCATCTAACCACACGCAGCCCAAGGCGTATATATTAAGCAACAATAAATACCATGGAATTTGTAGAGACTTCCAAGATGATCAAGTAAACTCTCTAAGGACTTGTATACTGGAGGGAGCTCCAAAAAACGATGAATTACGATATCAAAAACCTGAAAAATAAAAATAGACAATTCTAACGCAAAGGATCCCTGTTGTATTACAACCGAGATGCCTGGTAAGGAATCGTCTTTGTTCCCAAGTAAGTCCGTATTACCGATTTTTTTTTCGTCTAACAACCGATCAACTACRACACTTACTGCAAGAAACCTGAGGCAGACATTTCCAAAGTAGATGGGTAAGTACTGAATAGTTGGTACAGTGCTGCCTGCATTCTCCAGCAAACCTTCGTAGTAAAAACGTTCTGGATAACTCTGATACAAAAACACAAGACAAATAATCAGCCAAGCAGATCAGACGGTCATAATGGCAGACAGTCAGAAAGACAGAAGGTTAGAGAGACAGACAGGCGGTCAGTCAGACAGACAGACCGGAAGACAGACTCACAGACATATACAGACCAAGAGGCAGAATYACAGACACAGGCAGAACAAGAGGCAGACTCACAAACACAGACAGACCAAGAGGCAGACTCACAGACAAAGACAGACCAAGAGGCAGACTCACAGACACAGACAGACCAAGAGGCAGACTCACAGACACA